CTGTCCATCCATCCATCCATGCATGCATCCATCATCCGTCTGTCCATGCATCCGTCTGTCCATCCGTCCATCTGTCCATTCATGCATGCATCCATCCATCTATCCATCCATCCATGCATGCATGCTGTGGAACATTTTGGGATAAGGTGTCCGGCTCAGAGACACCACGAGATGTGCAATGACTGGGGATCGAACCTGGGACTTCTGGGTCCCAAATCGGCTGTCCTGTTTCTACCCCATCTCGGCCCCAATGGCAGAATAAGAGACCATAATAAAGGAGTCCCCAGCTGGAGCACCTTCCCGCAGCCCCACCAAGAACTCCAAGAAGGCCGGATACTCCAAACTGCCATTCGGCGCATAGGCACAAACAACAGTCAGAGTCCGTCCCACCACTCGAAGGCGCAGGGAAGCCACTCTCTCATCTGTCAGGGAAAACTCCAACATACAGGCCTTACCAGGGAGGCTAAGGAGAGTGATGGGGGGCTAAGAGTAGACCCACACCAGCTCGGTGCCTCTCACCATGGGCAACTCCAGAGTGGAATAAGGTCCAGCCCCTCTCAAGGAGATCGGTTCCAGAGCCCATGTTGTGCACCGATGTGAGCCCAACTAATATCTAGTTGGTACCTCTCAAGCTCAGGCTCCTTCCCCACCAGAGATCTCACGTTCCATGTCCCAAGAGCAGCTTTGTTAAGCCAGGGTCAGAGCGCCAAGGTCCCCGCCTTCAGCCACTGCCCATGGAGTCATGCACATGACTCATGGCCCCTCCTGCAGGTTGTGATCCTACTAGAAGACTAACGTATGTTGGTTGTTCGGGCTGAGCCCTACTGGGCCCCACAGGTAGGGCTGGGTAACTTAAAAAAATAATTGTACTAGTACCTTCACTTCAGTGTCAGTTCCTGAATGATACTTCTTTCTGTATCAATTTTATAATTACTATTAATTCTAACAAGAAGAAAACAACGTTACACATTACAGTACAGATCTTGAGTTTTATTTTTTAACTTTGGTATTTTTCCAGTTCAAAGACCAGTTTTAAACCAGTGATCTAATGTTCACTGCTTCACACTGAGGACCTTTTCACTGAACAGTTTTTCTTCAGAAACATCAACATGTCTGTTTTCTCTGGACACAAACCAGCTGCTCCTGGCTGATGGTGTCTCCAGCAGTAGATGTTCACTCTGAGGCTGTAGATGATGATTGTTGCACACACAGATACCTGGTTGCCAGTTTGACATATGTCCCTCATATCCCACCAGCAGGTCACTGGATTCACTGAGGTTAGAGTTGATGCAGATTCTGCACCTCTGTGTCTCTGCCTGAATCTTCTCTGGGGTTCAGGGCTCTGATCATCTCCCTAACTGACATGAGAACAAAACATCAACAACAACATGGTTGATTGATTATTGATCAAAAACATAATCTAGGCTGAGAAATAAAAGATTAACTGGTCAACAACTTCCTTTACAGCTTAACTTACCTCCACCATGCAGCCTCCACTGTAGAAAAAAACAGCAAACTTTTAACAACAAAGTTTGTGACTGTCCTCCCCCCCCCCCCCCCCCTCACTGTTCTTTTGTCCTCCTCACATCAGGGTCAGAACCTCCTGTGAGGAGAACATGAACATCAGGTGAACTGTTTAAGCAGCTGACCTCATGGATGAGCACATGTTTACAAGCTTCATCTGTTACTGTCAATCTTTAGTTAGCTTCTGAGTTTAGCTACGTAGATAAACTAAATTTACTCACTAATATCTTAACGTTAGCGTCACATGGATCTAGTTTAATTCACCGTGATGTTCGTGTTCAGCTGCAGTAACGTTAACAAACCAGTTACCAGCTGAAACAGACACAGCTCCGTCCTCTGATGAAGCAGAGTCCGGTCGTGGAGACGTTGAATCGAGCCGCTCAGGCTCCAACACCCACAGACTGACTTTAACACTGGGAGGAGGAGGAGGAGGAGGAGGAGGAGGAGGAGGAGGAGGAGGA